TCCAAATAATTTCTAAACTCGCCTCAATTTTCCCATAATTCAGAGAATCTTCACGAGACCTAGCAGAGAATATATTAATAATTTTATACAAGGTATGGCTCGTTTGAAATCATGGCTGCTCACTGATACTAATAGCTGTTGGTTAAACCGATGTTATATCTTTCTAGTGATGTGAAGCAGTTTGGTTAATATTTAAAGGTTTCAACAAGAAAATAAATTATACTGTATTCTAGACATTTATAGACGTTTGTTTTTATCGGTTTCTTTTCATTAAATATCATTCTCCATTTTAGAAGTTTTTGCAACGCGAAACGTATATATATTATATGTGTGTGCGTGCGTGCAGAATTGGATACTTTAGTAGCATTGGTTAACATAAATGACGTTACTTGTATTGTAAGAAAATATAAATAATAGCTAACAGAAAAAACTGATTTGATTTTTGGCCAATTTCTGGACTTGTTTAATAGGATTCGGTAATGATTCAACCTTTGGCTCGTTCCTGGACTGGTTTGTTAGTGATCTATGGCTAGTTCATAGACTCTTAATAGATCTCGCTAAAGATTCAATTTTTTACCATGTTCTGGATAGGATTAATGTATCTTGGTGGAGTTTCATTCATCAGACAGTTCTTGGGCTAGATTAATAGAACTTGATGGCTTGTCACTTTTTAAGCAGTTCCTGGGCTGGGTTAATAGACCTCAGTCCCAATTCTGTCTTTGGCTAATCCCTGGGCAGAATTAACAGACTTAATTAGCGTTGATGGGGTTTCAGTTTATACCCAACTGTTGAACTTGATTGGTAAATTTTGGTGATCAGTGTTGTGCTAGTTCCTGAACTGAATTGATATGTCTTGAAGGTGTTTCAATATTTACCCAGTTCCTGGATTGATTTAATAGATATCAATAACGTTTCAATCTTTATCTACTTGCTGATGCAACGTTAATATTGTCTCTAGAATGAAAATGTACTTTATAAACCAGGTCAAAATATTTGTCGCTAGAATAGAAATGTACTGTAGAAGGTAAGTAGAAATATTTGTCGCTAGAACAGAAATGTACTGTAGAAGCTAGGTAGAAATATTTGTCGCTAGAACAGAAATGTACTGTAGAAGCTAGGTAGAAATATTTGTCGCTAGAACAGAAATGTACTGTAGAAGCTAGGTAGAAATATTTGTCGCTAGGCTTCTACAGTACATTTCTGTTTAGGTAGAAATATTTGTCGCTAGAATAGAAATGTACTGTAGAAGCTAGGTAGAAATATTTGTCGCTAGAACAGAAATGTACTGTAGAAGCTAGGTAGAAATATTTGTCGCTAGAATAGAAATGTACTGTAGATGCTAGGTAGAAATATTTGCCACTAGAACAGAAATGTACTGTGGAAGGTAAATAGAAATATTTCTATCTTTTTGAAACTTATGCCAAAAAAAAAAGGCAGAATATAAAAGACCTAATTTTCATCCCTAACAAAGTGACCGTAGGAGTTGAATATTTCGCTATGAAAAATATCAGTTACAATGCAACACTTGCATGACGTTTCACCAAATTTTTGTCTCTATCTGCCTTCAGGCGTCGCATTTTCACACTTTCTCCTCTTTTCTTGTAGTTATGTATGTACGGATTACTTTATCCCCTTCTGACAGAAATGGATATTGAGCCAAATTACCAAAATCTATTAATCTAGTATGTGGTTCATGTTGTGAAACTGAACATGAAGTGTTTTGTCCACTTTTAAATTGTACAGGGTGTATAACGTAACGTGAATGATTGGCATCAACCATGAATGACTGATGCTGGTGTTGTAAATATACAGAGTTTAACATCCTAACTCCTGGTTCTCGTATTGTAAGTACACAATTATAGCACTAGTTTAATCTGAAGGTAACATCTGTACAAGCATTCCTTCTGTTGCGATATTAGTAGAAGGGGAGGGAGCCTATTGTGACGTCAAGGCTCATATTCGTTTTTCTAATATTCTGCCCTAGCCTTTCCTCAGATTAAACTGAAAGGTTAGTGATAAGGCAGCTAGTCAATAGTACCTATCGCCAACTCTTGGCCTGCTTTTGTTTGATCTAAAGGTAGGATTTTACCGCCACCCTTATAATGCACGTACAACCACACCCTTCAGAACACGATTTTTTTTTGTGGTAACGGGACGCGAACAATAAATTATAGATCACATAGTCTGGTATGATAACCACTGATCTACCCTCGGTCCCCTTGTATTAGCGTACAATGCATGTATACCAGGCTTGAGGTGAAAAAACTTGCTTTGAGACTTTCCTACATAACCAATAGATTTTAGTGTAAATTACTTTTGTTTTACGAATTTAATCCCTCGGTGAGTGTAGCATCCACTCAGACTAATTATAGGAATCAAATAATTCTACATTCAGGTTTACTATTCAAGCATTCGTTAAGTTTTGAAATGGAAAGTTTGGTATGCTACATGTATAACAGATAGCATTTTATGCGGCTACTAACCAATTTATAATGTATTACAATATAGAGGGGTAGATGATAACTTGTTGATCTTCAAAGAACATGTTTGTAGGGCATGTTGAAATAAATAGCTATAAATCTGTTGATCTTAGCCTCTTGGGATCTCTAGTGATATGAAAAGATGGGAGTTAATCTATCCATGTTGAAACCGCCTAATGAGAGCATTATGGTATCTGTTCTGTAGATGTCACATTGTACTGAAGTTTTTCATACTACCTAGGATCTCCAGAAATCCCTGGCCTGACGTCACCCAGTTTAGTAAAGGAATTGGTAGTAAGCTGTCGAGTAACTGTTTGTATTTTATGACTAGGATGTTACTTAAGTACAGAAAAGCAACTTACCCACCCACCCCTAAGGTAGCCAGCGGCAAGCTGGAGGCGTATAGCGCTGAAATTCGGGATTTCAAACTCAGATAAACACAGCGCTAATAGTTTATCGTGAAGTTTTGCACTTTATCAAACCCACACACCTCTTAAAACCATTTGAAACCCTTTGACTGCGGCTGCTTTAAACGCGTGCGGAATTTTTGCGAACTTTGCGCTGTATACAGTACACTCGCATTCAATTGCCGGAAGCGGACAGTATTGTATATGGCGAATCAGCAGTCAATGGGTTAATAGCTCATATCGACTTTTTCTCGAGTATAATTAATATTATTATTTTTATCCGGAGCAATGTTGCAATTAGACATTAGAAATATATCACTAAATACCTCGTATATAACAAAGCACCCAAAGAAGACATAATGTAACATCACCAACAGTAACCTTTATTAGGAATAAGGATCGTTCACTGGCTAGGACTTTATTTGATAAAGGAAGCTTTTGTTTATTGACCTGTAATGACCCATAACTACATGCAGGTTAGAAATAAGATTACCTCATTTCCATATGTTGTTAACTTATTTAGCTCACAGGATTTAAATACAAGCAGATGGTATGGCATTCCCCCCAGAAGCAACTTTGCTATACATAATTTTCAGCCTTCTATGTTTTCTTATGATTAATTATTAACTTTCATGTTTTGAATTTTCGTCCACTAGGGTTAGCAACTATGTAGTGTATCTCGGAATTAAAAAGGGAATTCACTCCAAAAGTTACTTATCATATTCACCTGAATCAAAAACTCTAAAACTATCCAAAAGCAATTTATTGATTACTGCGTACGAAAAACTAATATACAATGGATTGATATGTTTTGGAATCGATTTTAAATGTAACGTTTAATTGGACACATTTGGCAACATGGTTTTTAGTATTTCCAGTTTAGGAGTTGTAAATTTATCCTACAGTATACTGTTTAAACTTTTAGTGTTTGGTCTCTGTTAAGAAATATTTTAAAAAAAAAGAAAAAAAAACAGTTTGAAAACGACCCTTGATTGAACAGTGGATAGTTTTATCTGTTAATTTTGGTTAATTTAACTGTTAGTTCTACGCTTAGTTTTACAAGCTAAGAAATGCATTAGCCGATAGCCCAGTCTGAAATATTTGTGGGTTTAGGTTTGTTTTAAAATTTGTTGGTTTATAAAATTGTATTTGATTTTTCTTTTACAACATTTATCGATTTCCTATCATCTTAAAATGCGATATAAGAAGATGGAATAAAAATGTCAATAGCTGTAAAGCTTGTCTTTTTTTTTTAGGTATTCAAATTTTAGAGACATTAGAGTTTCTTGCTAGCAGAAAAATTTAGAATAAGAAGCGTATGTGAACTTTTGTTATATGTGAAGTGTGCAATAAGTCCGAAAATGATGTTAATACTTTTATGAAAATTTATTCCTGGATGTATAAAGCATTAGAGCACACACTGTCCGGACTCGACGTACTCGTCAATGTATCTTCATGGAGCTTACGATATTCTGATAGATTTTTTAACAAAGTTCAACATTTCTATTTCTGGAACTCATGAATAGTTTTGTTAAAATTGTTGTCCGACATATTCTATGCCAGTTTATTATTTAAAACGAAGAATAAAGAGGTAATTTGATTTGGGGGATTTATAACATTAAAAGTGTTGAGCAGAGTACAGATAGTTCATTTGTGATGAACAACACACCTACTCAGAAGGGGTCTGAAATTAGCACAGTGCTTCAGTGTTGTTTATTTTGTCGTCGAAGATAAAGTACACTTGCTTTTATAACAAGGATAAGAATCTGGTTTACATTTTCTCAGATTTAGATTTAGAAAGGAATGTATTTCACCCATTACTTTAAATAATTCATGTGCACACATTTTTATTTAATATATATACATTTTGATGACGTTTTATTTTTATTCCCGGTGGCTCAGTGGTAAGTCTGGGGGCTTATAACACTAAAAAACAGGTTTCGATACCAGTACTGACACAGTATAGATAGTCCATTGTGTAGATTTGTATCTAATAACAAACAAAATATATTTATTTGGTTTGATCATATTTCTATTATTGACCCATCTATATAGCAGGGCGAGATACCCTCTCCATTTTAAGCTGATCAGCTTTTCTTTACACTCGATCTAGGATAACACAATCCCCACTTCTCCCTCGTACTCGCCAATGGATCGGCGTCATTCCTCTCAGCCATCAACAGTGTCTGGGTCGGCAGCCATGGGTGGACTGGACCGGGACATCTGTAGAATCTGTCACTGCGAAGGAGACTCGGAGATGCCACTCATTTCTCCTTGCTTCTGTGCAGGAAGTCTACGCTACGTCCACCAAGGCTGTCTCCAACAGTGGATCAAGAGCTCCGACACTCGGTGCTGCGAGCTGTGCAAGTTCGAGTTCATAATGCACACAAAAATTAAACCGTTTCGGAATGTAAGTATTAGTCAACTTGCATATTTTTGAGGCTGTAGTTTTAAGGTGATTACAGAAAAAATATATATGTGTTTGTGTATGGTATCTGTAATTAAAGTTGTTTACAGATACCAGGGTCGAGGATTGTTCACTGTAGTTACATCTGTACGTAATTAATAAAAACAAATTTAGTTATCAAACTGGTGATATTTCGTATGCAGCTCAAGGGTTTACTTTAAAAACAAGTCTAGTATTGAAAAATCGCAAATTCCAAATTCTTGTGTCGCCGATTCGCATGTGAAATACAAAGTTTAGTATCTTGAAAACCTCTTTTCTGTTTTGTATTGTTAATAAATTTGTGAAATTGTGTTATTTATTTGTAAGTTTTAATAAGGAAAATACCAAGAATGTTCTTGAATATTTCTCGGAAAGTAAAAACTATTAAACTTTAAAACAAGTTTGAAATCGTTGAATAAATAAATAATTTAAATATTGACAGGAAACCTTCCAGACTTAAAAAAACAAAAACAAGAAAAACTATGGAAACTGTTGAGTGTTAAGTAAAAAAAATCCGCCGGTGAGTCAATGGTAAGTTGAAGGACTTACAACGCTAAAATCTGAAGTACGATTCCCCGCGTTGGACAGAGCACATATAGCTCATTGTGTAGCTTCACACTTAAACAAACAAACAAAATCAATACAATTTTAGGTTTTAGAAGCTTCAGTGGAAGGCTTTGATAAATATTTCACCTTCCAATATAAGGCCCGTGACAAAAGAGATCAATAAAAGTTTCTATGATTTTAGGATACTTAAATGCGAAGCTCAGTACTAATTATCTGCTAAACATTAAATAATTCAATATGTTGCTCGTTCTTTTATCGAAGTTTTCTTCCTTAAGATTAATATTATATTTGAAACACTTTATTTGTTAGTGGGAGAAGCTGGAGATGTCACCAGTAGAACAACGGAAGGTCCTGTGTTCTATAACATTTCACGTTGTTGCCATTACGTGTGTAGTGTGGTCCTTATATGTGCTAATCGACCGTACAGCAGAAGAAATGAGATCTGGAATATTAGAGTGGCCATTTTGGACAAAACTTATTGTTGTTGCAATTGGCTTCACAGGAGGGTTAGTTTTCATGTATGTTCAGTGCAAAATGTATGCCCAGTTATTCAAACGATGGAGAAGCTTCAATCGAATTATTTGTGTTCAAAACGCTCCAGAGAAGGCGGCAATGGCTGCAGGACTCTCTCCTGCGAATAAAGGATTTACGACCCCGGGAGAGAAGGGTGTATCCCCAGTAGAAGAATTTCATAGCTGTGACTGTGGCAGTATAAATTCCGTAGAGAGTAATGGTTTTATTGAACCACTACCAGATGGCGCGACTGCTCCCGGAAATGACGTTTCTATATCGGGAGACGATTTGCTTCCAGTGACAATTGTTAAAGAAACTCCATTGAATACGGATTGTAATAAAGAATCAAATAGTTCTTTATCGGTAAGTTAAACAGCTTATTAAACATAAAAACTTGTACTACCTTAGTTCTCAACTTATTGAGTTATGCTGTTTAAACAAAAACAAAAATAACTTGCTAAAATCACTGAACAATCTTCTGAAGAAGAACATTTTGGTACTTCAAGTAAAAATGCCAAGGTGCTAAGTGATATTGGACGATGAGTTTTAATGTATATTGATGACAAAAGTAAATAAAGGAAAGAAACAACTTATTCTTTAAAAGTGAAATCGAATAATGTACTGTTTTGGTCAAGAATTGTTCCGTTGTAGCTTCATTTGGATATTTCACCACTATGTGTAAATAGTGAAAAGTGTAAATAAGGAAGGGCTATATAAATCAGTATCTGCATAATAAAGTGATGATGTTATTTAAAACAATAAACATCGAAAATATGAATCGTTATTTAATGTAGTAGGGGTGTGCATGCGTACTTGCATACAAGAGCGTCTGTTGAAAACAATTGGGGAAGCTATTTGTAATTTCAGTTAGACATTTTTTAGGGCATGTTACCACTGAGGCGTTTTTTTTTCTTTTTGTATTCAGTACGGTTCTATTCGTTTGCAGAACAGCGTGAACAGCAAAGTTCAATTGGCCAACGAATCGAACCGAACTGAATCCACCAGAAGGGGTGGTCTCAGTCCATTTGGTAAAAGAACTTTGTTTCGTTTTAAAAAAAATTAATATAAACATTGGACAGTTTCGGAGAGTGCTGACAAAAAAAGGAAGTAAACAACGAACTTGGCACCTTGTACACAAGACAAGTGTGAACAAATAGCACATTCACCAAAGTAATCGAACTGAAGCCGTGTGAAATGAACCCAGTGTGAAGACTGCCTAATTAATGTTTTGTACGTTCATCGCTATTTGAAGTGAACCACCATTTCCTACATAAAGAAAACTCTCGTTCTAAGCTACAAATGTTGCAGTCAAAATAATAGGCAGATGAAAAACTGTTAATCTTACAAAACTCCACCAAGCATTATATATAAAGTTCAGATTCGGTAATTTTCTAGTCTTCTACGTCAGTCAACCGAGAATTCTCCGCTTACTGCTTTGAATCTTTTTCTGTTGATTGCTTGCTGTATCATTTGTCCTCTTCTTTGACCCAATTGCGCACTCTATCACTGTCTTTCTCTTTTTGACTCTGTTGCTCAATGTATCACTCTTTCTGACCCAAGTGCTCACTGTAGCAGTCTCACTCTATCTGACCCAAGTGCTCACTGTAGCAGTCTCACTCTATCTGACCCAAGTGCTCACTGTAGCATTTGCTATCTGTGTAACCAAACACCTCACTATATATATATATTTTTTTCTCTACCAATCACTTATTTTATCACTTTCTCTAAATCTACACGAAACTATACATACCAATGTTAATGACATAATTCATAGAATATTAAAACAGTATAATATATTTTAAGGTATACTGTTTGTAGCAACAGTACTTCATTTCACAATTTGAATTTAAAAATTATTTTACTTTCAAGATTTATTACCAATGGAAGTTTCGGGTGGGGGAGAGGGACTCCACTTATTCATATGAATGTGTGAATTTTGTTAAATGGCTTTTTTGATTTCCATGCTGATTTCTCCAAGCCCGTTCCCTTGGCTGTGGTTTCGCTAGATAATAGATAGGGACA